AAATTGTCCAAAAAAATATTTGTCATCCAAAAACCCCATCATTTTTCTTTAGAAGAATAGCACAGAAAATCTATGATGTACTTCATACCGAATACATAATAATCATTTGTGGAACATGCAAAAGTTATTAATTGGTTAATTAATCAACGACATACTATTTATGATATTTCATAATGTTTATAATAACTTATGATGCAACTTGCTTTAGATAACTATATTTTTCCTATAACCATCCCTTTACTTTGATGATTAGTGTAATTCTGGGATACAATAATTTTGTATTTGCATCACTCAGATTCTTAAATATGTTCACCTGCAACATTGGAAACAAGCTTCATTAAATTTATTTATTAAAATAAAAATATTTAAAAGGACTCTACTGAACATTTACTGCTTTATAATATTTTAATCTTATATTTTACATTAGATATTGAATTATAGTGTGCCCAAATCATCCTATATATATTGATAAGTGTCAATGCTTCATTTTCTTACTATACAATGACATGAAAATATATTTAATCAGCTCTTTATGAGTCTTGCTATACTATTTAAATAATACAAGGCCATGTACATTGAAATGTTTCTAAAATAATAAGAAAAAGTTAGTAATCTATAAATACTATTCTAAATAAGAAAAATATTAATAATACTAAATACTAAATATATTTTGAATCTGGAATACATTACTATTGATGGCATAAAAAAGAATTCAAGTGATGCCATTGCACATGCCTTTCTAATTAGAATGTCGGCATATATATATATATATATATATATATACATATATATATATATATACATACATATATATATATACATACATATATATATATATACATATATATATATACATACATATATATATACATACATATATATACATACATACATATATACATACATATATATACATACATATATATATACATACATATATATATATACATATATATATATATATTACATCTTCGTTTATTGAAATCGATAACTTTATAAAGCAATGCAAGTTGAGGTGACGTACATCATCTCTTTATATTATGTCAGTTGATAAACTATAACACCAAAGAAATCAAATAATTTGATCAATTGTCTTATATTTAATAGACAAATGGAAAAATAATTATATATAATAAAACTTTAAGTAAAAACGAATATTAACTAATGATAAGTGCTTCAGCTTGCATTAGATTATTGTTGCTTCTTCATCTGAATTAATTTTATTTTTCTCAATACTCTAAAAGATAAAAAAAAAATTCAATACAAACACATTAGATTATTGTTGCTTCTTCATCTAGACTAATTTTATTTTTCTCAATACTCTAGAAGATGAAAAAAAAATCAATACAAACATCCTCTTTACTAGTATCTTTGATATCTTATAAAAAAATATTAAAAACTTTCTTTTAAGATGGCAACTATCTACTTATTCCAAGTTTAACCTTCAATTGGTCTTTATTACATTCAAGTTTAACCTTATTCTTCTCTAATTTCTCATCTAATTTCTTCTCAATGTTCATCTTCAATGTTTCTTGTGGATTACATATTTGAATTATCGATGCAAATGTCTTTTAAGTTTCTTGGGCATCATTTTAAGAACTGCATAGCCAAACCATGTTCCCACAATAAACACTATGAATATCCTAATAATCTTGAGATGTCTCACAGATTTTACATTCAAACTGTTGAGGCTCACGTTACTTCAATTGTTCTTCTGTGATATCATCCATACATTGCTTACTTTATTATCTAATTATCTAAAAAAATTACAATTAATGTAGTTTATGAAAGAAATATAGGTAAGTAGTCATGACTCCTCAACTGCTAGTACCTTAACATTTAGTACCTCAACTATTAGTATCTCAGCTATCTATTGGTATCTCAACATCTGGTACCTTAACTGTTGGTACCTCAATATCTAATACCTCAACATTTGGTGTCTCATAAGAATATAACCATGCCTCATTTGACAGAGGATTTAACTCTTTCATTATCTATAAATAATAAAAAGCGATCATTATGCTATTTTTCAATAGAATTTATAATAATAAATTTATATTTGATTTCAAAACAAGGTACTTACTTTATCATATGATAATGTTGATATCATTCTATTAATTATTTTTAAATACAATGTGGAAATAGATCATTTCTATAATATTGGAGATTCTACTTTATTTGATGGCTTAAAGCATGGAACATGCTCACGAAACCACCCTTATCAAATTTTAAATATATGTTAAGATCAAATCATATTATACAATAATAGAATACAATAATGTGTAAACTATATACCTACACATAAGTTATGTAATATGAATAGATATTCTTTTAAACAGCTGACAGTCTCTCTCCCACTATTGCACCAATTATACTTGTTCAAAAATTTTAAATTGTCAATAGTTGATGCTGAGGACCACTGCAATCTGTAGGTGATTTGACAAAATAATATACAAACAAAAGTATATAACATATATATTCGACAAAAGTCCTGATCCATTATCACTTGAATGTAAATTTATTGTCAATATTTTTAAATCGTTAGTCATTTAGATTAAATAATACTTTTGTATAAGATATACCCTATGGATCCAAATGTCTTTAGATCAATAACTTCTTTCATAATTATCAATATTAATCCGCTAGATACGAAAATACCAAAGATATTTAAGAAATAACCAGATATAATACTTCTTATAACATGCAAGTGACACTGATAATGAGATTAATTTTGCTGGACTATACATTATATGTGTTTGAAAAAAGTGACCAAAATTATCTACAAAGCTTTATCCTAAATTATTCAACTATAATAGCTTTTTCACCTCTCTTCATCATAAGAATGGCATGATCTACGGGAACAAACAAATAAAACTGTAAAGCTAAAATTTAAAAAATATCAATGATAATTAAATATAAATTAAATAGAAATTTACATAAACAAAAATATACCTATGCTTAAATCAACATTCTTGCAATGACAGACATTCTACACATATGACAAGCGTTTTATGAAATAATTATTTCCTATTTAAAGCCAAAAGGTATTATAGTTAATAATTCAATGAAAAATTATCTAACTAGAAAAAACAAGAAAAAAATGACACACTATGCATATGCTCAGAAATCTATAAAAATACAAAAAAAAATTCTAAAATAAAAAACCAATAACATACGTTAAGTGTCCTATTCAAAGTTGTTTTAAAAAATTTAAGATCATTTTAAATAGTACATATTTGTGATGAACTGTTTTTTTTTTTATTTTTTTCACAAAAACAGGGCATTACCTATTAAGAATTTTTTTTCTAGATATAATTTTTTATATATTGTTGACCTATTTAGAAGCACAAATATGAAAATTTATTACATGGATGTATTATAATTCAACCGAAGTGATTACCAGATCACTTTAAAATACTGATAAAAATATCATTAAAATACATGAAAAAACAAGCTTAAATGTTCATTAATTATTGTAGGATGGCTCTGATAACAATATGGATCAAACAATTGTTTTATAGAATCATAACTGAATTTTGGTCCAAAAATAAACTTAATAGATCCAAAACAATGGATTAAGAATGTTTCCATAAAACTTATTAAATCCATTATAATATACATAAAATCCTATAATAATTAAGAAACATATTAACACGGAAGCATACTTGATAAATCCATTAGAGTATTTTCTGAATTAATTGGTGACTTAGTCTTCCAATTGCAAGTATCCTTAAGAACTTTAGATTTCTCCTTAACGGGTGAAGAGAAACTTCATTCAATACTGCAACCGGGGACCATAACCTTATTTATAGTCATAACTGATGAATCTACAATTATGATTATATTCATAATTGATGAATATACAATTATGCTTCAAGAGTTTCATATTCCTAACTTATCTCGTCATTAAGTTAGAAATATGACTGATGGTATCCACATAATTAATTTTCATAATAATAATTATGTCCCTTAGCCAAATAATTTTACTTTAATTGGATCACTTTAATTTTTGGCTAATAAAAATAATAACTTAACATATTTAATTATACATGTGTGACCCTTAAAATTCTAACATTTATTGCTCCCTCGATGTTGGCTATAACATCTACGGCGTAGATTTGTGGTGAGTCTACCTCCTCTACGCTTCCAACTATCCCAATCATGTTGGCTCCCCTTCGCACTCTATAGTCTTCTTGTCCTCTAGATCTCGTCTCTCCACCTCAAGTTCACGATGACACCTTAGGTGAAGAAGCTCATAGATCCTTAATGGGAGGCTATAAAGCAATAGCGTGGGTGGATGAGGAGATGGTGGAGGTCATCCTACCAAGTTGGAACCGGAGGATGGGGTTGCAGAGCGAACAATGATATGTGAAAGCAACAACTTGTATGGTTGGCCGGAAACAACTACGACCCTGCCACTACTAAGTGAACCTCGCAACTATGTTGTGGTTCGCCATCAAGCTTTAGGAGCAAGACGCAACAATAGAAAAGGGGTAATTGGGCAATGCTCTAACGATTAGAGGGGTGCTCCAGAGTGCTTGTGAGGCTAATCATTGCCATCATATCATGAGTCGCATAGGTCACCAAGCACGAAGCTCGAGTCGCCAATGCATTTACCGAGCGATATTGATATAGTTGCAGAGTGTCGACATATGTGTCGTTCTCTTTCACCTTTTCATTTTGTCTTAATTCTCGTCACCACCCTCCCTCCTCATCCACAACAATCAGCCACGGTTCATCGTGGCATTGTTGTTTGTCAACATCGAAAATATAATTGAGACGTTAAAATTATTTTTTTTATCCATCGAAAATTATTTTTTTCCCATCATTTCATACTTCTATCATTAAAATCGATACCATTAAAATAAATAAAGTTAGATATTTTACTCTCATAATTATAAAAGATTCTAATATAAAATTTTTAAATCTGATCAAAAATAAAAAAAACGTCTAACAACAACACGTGGTTAGCCTCCGAATCGAACGCTTACAAACTAGGGCTTTGTTTGTCTCTTCACCGCACCGCTTCTACAGTGAAATCCATCCCCTACTCTTGTCTGTCTCTCGTTTTCGTCCCTCCGTCGTCGGTTTTCCCCGTTCGCCAAAGGATTTCTTGTGCAAACTGCCTTCCCTAGCCGAGCAGCTTCAATCCTCACATGGCTCTACCCTTATGCCATCGAGTTGATCCCGTGGGTTGCAGCTGCTTTCTCGCAAGTCATTCCTCCGAGTCATCTATAGCCTCCGATTCCCGCTGTTGTTTTGGTTTTCGCTCCGCTTCGATTCGGATTCGTCGCTAGAAGCGCTGGTTCTGACGCTTTAGAGCTTCCGCCATGGGGAAGAGTAAGCTGCTGCGTCAAATATTATGTCATATGTTCGGCCTTTACCTCGTTAATTGTTGATTTGTGAAAAAGATCGAATCATGTGGTTGGTGCTTCGCCAAAGTCGCATTTTTTAATTGGAATTCGGCGGTTGATTTGCCTGAATCTCCACTATTAAAGATTAAAAATAAAAGAATTGTTTTGATAGATATCTTGATCATGCAGGTCACCGGCGCAAAGCAGGTGGTGATCAGTTTGATAGCAGCGATGCTGACAGCGTGAGCTCCGTCTCAACGGGCTTCTCGGAGCTAACGCTGGCTAACGACACTGAGTACGTGAACTCCCAGGAGTTCGAGCTAGAGAAGTACATCGATGCTCTCTATGAAAAGAGGTACCTTTGTATCTCTTATTGTATATAGAACACAAGAAAACAAATCCCTGGACTCTGAGTGCCTTCGTTTCTATATGCAGAGTTTTTACCTACTTTACTTTGAAAAAGTTGTTTGAAACTGCCAATCAGTACATCAATACTTCAAATTAGCCGATATGAACTTAATCTTTAAGGATTTCTCTAAAAGAATATTTCTAAGGGAATTTATTCTTTTGATAAAGATTTTTGGTTTACATCAATCAATAGAAAAAAATAGAGAAGCAGACTGAAAGTAAGGGAACTTAAGGTGAAAGATTCAATGTTGAGGGCGTACGTCCTGGACAGTGTCATTCATGAGAAATGTCTTAATGGCTCAAGACATTGATATGTACTCTCTTGTCCAGCTTTCCTTGCAAAGACCGAGGAAGATAGCTTTTGTTCTCCTGCTTTATATCATATCAAATAACTATTTAGAAAGTAGAAACTCAGGGTTGGTACATTTATTATATTAAATTATGGTGACCATGTAGAAAATTTGTGAAGAACCTTCTGCTTCTTAAAAGAACCTGGATGCTTTTTTCTCCATTAAATCCTGATAAATTTTTTTCGAAAAAGAATAAGCATGAGTTCTGTAAATCAGATTGAATTTGTCTTAATTTTTGTGATGCTAATTCCGGAAGAAAATAACTTCTGCATTTTGTGTATTTGCTTAGATCTCGAATGCTTATGTATGCTTTTAACATCATTATATCAACTGGACATGTTGTCTATTCTGGAATTGATTTTACTCATTAGGCAATTTTTTTTCTTTTGGTGGAAGAGGTTAAATGATGATTGTTAAATTTAGTAAAAAAAATATCTCATTACCATTTCACCTATTTTTATGTTCCTGTTCTTTTTTTATTTGCTGATAAACAGTGTTACCTATATGCTGAGAATTTCAATAAACTGAATAAAAATATCCTATTTCATGCTAAAGGGGATCTACAAGAGAGATGGCTTTGTCCATGCTTGTGAATGCATTCGAAGGAAATGTGCTTCTTGCGTTTGTCGAAAACAAGTGAGTTAATTCAACAGGCTTGCTTGCTATCTTGGTTGGGCTGTAAAGTATGTGACCATATATTTTATTTATCAGGTTCTTAATTACCTGAAATTTAGAAGTTTTTTTCGTTTGCTTGTAGAAAAGGCAGTTGGAAAAAAAAATGCTAATATATATACTCTTACTACTGCTACTTGTGTTTCACTAGTTCAAGGTTGTCTGATCAACTGACAAATGTTCGTAGCACCAAAATATGTTTATTGATTCTGCAGTTCTTTATACATTTGTACTATTGGCTAGGCGGTTCTTTTTATTGTTTGCGTAAAGAAATTATTCCCATCGTAACATATTAAGATTTTTCAATGGTCTGTGACCTCTTTGTGTCTCCATATTATTTACCATTTTATTCACTTGATTCTGCAAAAGAAATTCTTTACTCATGAACTTTTGGAAGTGAATTTATAATGTACTTGTGGTGCTTTGACCTTCAAACACTGTTTATTTTGTACTACTATAATAAAATTGACTTCAACTTTACATAGTCCTAATTTGATTAATTGAAGTAATCATATATATGATGTTACATCTGAGTTGTCTAACTCATCTAACATATCTGGCTTGCTTATGGTTGTTGCAGGTTTATTACATTACTAAGTCAGTACATCAATTCAGTCAAGAGGGGTTCTACAAAAGAGGCTTGTTTAGCTTCTCGTGCTATTGGTACTATTTAGTCCTTCATGAACCATGTATTTGACGATTATCTAGCTGATGTTGCAACTAATTTGCTTCTTTTTTGTTTCAAGGACTGCTTGCCATTACCATTGGTGCTGGAAGTAGTGCCCACGAGATAATGGAAGAATCGGTGTCCCGACTCTCTCAGGCCCTTATGTCTGGGTCTGATTCACTCAAGAAATCATCTGTATGGTTTAGTTTTCTATATTCTGTGTTATATAACTGTCTCTCTCTGTTTCTTTGCTAATTCGCAGACTCAATTTGCTGAATTTGTCATATGCTATTCTAGGTACTGGATTGCCTTGCTCTTGTAACTTTTGTAGGTGCAAATGACTTGTTTGAAACTGAACTATCGCTGAAAACAATGTGGCAAGTGATATATCCAAAATCAGGTCCTAATGTATGTGAGCCTGTTCCTGATTTGAAATGTTATTTGAGTTTAGTTCATTTTGATAATTAAATCCATGTTTTAAGATTCATGAAATTTCTTGCTTATACATTCAGGTTGGGCCAGTGAAAAAACTTCCCCCTACTGTACTAGCAGCAGCAATATCTGCGTGGTCATTTCTTTTCACAACTGTTAGTAGTTGGAAAATCAATCCTGACAATTGGAAGGAGTATGTGAAGTGGAAATGAATTCTAGTTTGTTGTTCATGTTTTTAATAGTTGGATTCTAAAACAAATTTTCTCAATCTGTCCAGGGAAATTTCTTTCCTTTCAACTCTATTAGAAGATAATGACCGTTCTGTTCGTATTGCTGCTGGAGAAGCAATATCCATTTTCTTTGAGTTAGGGATATTGGACCAGAATGAGCAAGTTGATACTGACAGTATCAACCATGAAGATTTGAAACATGGAGTGCTTGCATATATGCAATCAATGAAGGCAAAGATACTGTTTAAAGCAAATGAACTCTCTGTTGAAGCAGGAGGTAAAGGAACTGACAAGAAAAATCTTAATGATCAACGAGACTTGTTTCAGAAAATCTTAGATTATGTCCAGGTGAGCTTTTTTTTTGCGTTGAGGCTACGTAGCTTGTGATATATGTAATATCAACCAATATTATGTTTTTGAAACTGGTTTTTTCATTGTAGACTGGTGAATGTCCAGAAATTTCATTGAAGATATCAAACAAGCATGGTTTCCTCAGGGCCTCAACATGGACCGAAATAATACAAGTACTTGATTTTCTTCCTATTGTGATTTTTGTAAACAAGAAGTGCAGTTCTTTAATGTGATTGTTTATGTTGAGCAGCTGAACTTTTTGAAGCGTTTTCTTGGGAGAGGCTTTCTGAAGCATTCCCAGGTCGGTGATAAACTAAGCTGTTTAGTCTCATCACCTTCAAAATAAGACAATTAACTGTTTTACTTGTTACTTATCTGTCCTCGATTTTGTCTTCAAATGAGTGACTTCTGTTACTGGTAATGCAGGATAATGAACTACTACATGATATTTTTGATTTTGCACGAGATAATTCAGAAAGTCTATCAAGTAAGGAAAAGGTGAACTTCTGATATTCGTAGGCACTTGAGATTATCTTCTAGCGAATTTATTTCTTATTATGTCGTTTAACCTACGTAAGTTCTTCCTATTTCTTTTTTCTCTGTGAACAATGTTGCTAAAATGTTTTAAGTTCTGTTCTATGTTAATCCTCTGAACCTTCTATATTATTTGTATTTGGTATGGTTTTGAAATTATTGCATCATGTAGTTACAATGATGAGAAACATCAATGTTGCAGCATGATCTTTACTTGCATGCTGAAAAATGTGTGGTCGTGGTTCTTGGGTTATTAGAACTACGAATTGGGGCAAGGATTTTTTATGATGATATGTTTCTTAGCTGTGTTGTCTCACTTAAAAAGCATGTAAAGCACTACCTAATCGATTGACATGCTACTATATGAAGGGGATGCCACTCAACCTTTTGTATGATTATGATGAAGTTGCAAATTAACTGTTCTTTCTTGTCTAATGGCTATTTTGGTGGTAAAACTTGGACTGATTTTGATCGCACCCATCAACTTTGTAATGCACATATATAGATAGCTTGACATTCTTTGCTCTTTTTCCCATTCCGGACGGAAATGTCGTTGACATAAACAATGGCATATTGACAGCTTCATGCTGTTTGCAAATTAGTTAATATATGCATGAATGCGAATGTTGCATAACTTGTCAGTTTTTTGTTTATGCAGAAGATCTCTAGGACAGAAGGTGACAAAGGACGGACTCAAAAGATGAATAAGGATCGTAAGTTGGCTCAGGTATATGATTTGCTATGAAAAATGAACTTGTGCCTTTTCTCATCAAACCGTGCCCAGAGTGGATCTATATTTTCCCCTTTCTTTCTAGAGATCCTCGGTTGCACATAGGTGTTTGCTATTAAAATCCTATCGGACATTCTATACTGGAGATGGCTTTTGATGTATTATGTAATTGTATCTGCTTTTTTGATGTCAGTCATCAAGGACCCTTCAAAACTGAGGTTTCATTCATTTGCTCTTTGATCATGCAATTCAAGATGTTCATTGGTTTAACCATGTGGTATGCTTACAGGAACGAAAACGAGGCCACTTCATCCCTCGAGAGGAGTAGACCACATGCAATTTTCAATCATTACAAGTAGTAGTGGATTCAATTTGAAGGAACTGCCTTTGTTTGACAGACATATTATCTTGTAATCTTAGGCACTTGATATTAAAATGAGACGAATGTAACTTGTTTTTATCGATGCGATGCGATCTACTAGTATATTTATTTTCGCACAAGTTGTCTCTTGATCGAATAATTAAGCAACGCTGAAATGAGCTTTCAGTTGACTTTTTAAGTATTATGAGCTTTCATTTGACATTTTGATGCAAGCATCGATGCTGCTCAACGTGACTTGTGCTTAAAAGCTTGCTTTCTTCCTCATGCTTAACCATTATCTGTTCTTTTCTTTTGATACAAAGGTTTACTGGCCTCCAGTGAAATGAATCCATGCATCATCGGTTGACTGCCCTTTGTTCAAGCAAAAGAGAGAGAAAAAGAAAGAAAACTCAGCAACTTTCTTGGGTCTTTTAAATATGAAATAATGTTTGATTATTTTTTTAAAATTATATTTGATTTAAATATTATATTACAAATTAATATTTACGAGATATTAATAAAAACTTTTTAAATTCTCAAATAATTTATGATATTATCTAAAATCATAAAATTATCAACATGATTTATGCCTTGTATAAATTAAAACTGGCATAGCAGCATTCAACAAACAAATTCTCGCAACACCCACTTTCTAGTTCTTCAGGATTGTAGCTTGTGTCTAGTTCATTTCCAACAGTAGATTTTCTCACATGTTGTTATATTTCTTTCTTATTTGTTATACATACTTCCATAGTTTTATTTATTTATTTTCAAGGGTTATTTTATATTTATTTATATGATTATATATATATATATATATATATATATATATATATATATATATATATATATATATATATATATATATATATA